GTTTAGGAAAGAAGAAATCCAAAATTATCATTTTAATGAACAATAATATTATAATAAAATTTTAAAAATATTGTATTAATTTTATTAAGACATTCTTATTTGTTAAATTTCCAGATTCCAAGCCTTTGAGCAATATGTGTGCTGGAATTGAGTGTATTTAATAATAATAGTAATAATGATAACGTTTGGCAATGTTTTATGGGATATCTTTCTCATTTCTCTCTGAACCGGCTCTCATTAAGCAATAATTATTATTACACGGTGGTACATCGATAAATCAATAATAACTTCCCTCCACATCTTCAATATAAGTTTAGTTACTAGAGCATACTGAACAGAATCACAGAAACAGACCTTTTGATTGACTCATTTCCCAGCCCAGCCCAGTTTGACCTGGCTCGCTCAGCCCGAAAGGTTTGCGGTCTGAATAGCATACCTAACCATCATGACTCTAGAATGCGAAAAACCTAGAAACAAGTTGCTCCAGCTTATGACGTGCTCGCCTGACGGCTGAGGCGGGCTCGCCTCACACCGACCGGGTGCTGCCGGGCCAAGCCTGTATCGACTGGCGAGACGCGGTTGCCAAATTACCACAAGCGCAGGTACTGCTAGATAGGGATTGTGAGGTAAAATGATGACACTGCACTTTCTTGAAGTACCTCTTGAAAAATATTCATCCAAGTGATTGAACATTGGTTTCCAACTTTAAATTCATAACATCTTCATGTGCACAATCTTCATGTGAAAAAGGTGTTAAAGAATGGCACAGTCTTTCTAGTACAAGTGAATTTCCTATTCTCTTGTGTCGGCACGGGCTTTCGGTTTTGTCTCATCATCGTCCCACCTGGTATCTATCGGCGCCTTAAACACGGCCTCATGAATTCTACCACTCATCTAGGGTCATTACCAATGAATATGCAGGCTTTTGCGGGCCCCGAATATCTCATAGGTCTATCTTGGTCCTGTAACTTAACATATTTTTCAATAGTAACTTTTGGCCATATTTTGATGCTTGTGCCATTGTTGTAGGTGAAGAGAGACAGTTCCTTATTTACACCCAGTTACATGTCCAGATATGAAACGTGATGTCAAGGTCGATGCCACCTGCGGGAGTCTATGGCACGGGTAGCACGACGAAATCACTCCTCGCCTTACCACAAGAGAACAGGAGGTAGTCAAAGTCGCCCTGAACACGTTTACGCTTTACACATGTAATACGATAGGGCAAGATTTAGATAAAAAATTAAGAACGTTTATTACTTTTATTTAAATTTTTACTATTATTTTTATGCGCATATCCTCTTTATTACATGCGATTCCATCAAGTTGGAAAACGTTTCTACTGATGAGTTTCCTTTCTCGACGCTATTTGCGTTGAGAAGCTCGTGGAATGCCACAGTGGCGCCAAGTGTGCCACTGCCACCAATAGGAAACCTTGACACCTCTTGATTATGGTATAAATGTAATACAGGAGGGTTCCCGAATGCCACCCACGTCATGACCCCACGATTCATGCCTGACAAGGGTTTCAAACCCACAGCTTTACTACTCGTACTTGGACTCACCTTCTCCACGCCACAGCCTCACGACGCCGAATCATTTGGCAGTATTATTCGTAAACGTTTTGCTTTTATCTAAAATGAAATATTGAAAAAATTGATAAACTAATATTATAAGAAAAATCCGCCGATTTATGTATACGCGGCCTAAAATGATTTTAGATGATAGTGAAGAAATCAACCGATTTCAGTGACTTCAAATTTTATACCATTATACACTTTTCAATTATCAATCACACACACACACACACACACACATATATATATATATATATATATATATATATATAGTGACTACACCACTATATAGTGATGTAATTTAAATTAGTGTTAATGTAAAACAGACTTTAAATTTACTTTAAGAAAAAAACAGTATTGAATCTATTACTTTTCACCATTCGTTTTCATAGCAACATTGCAAATAATGTTACTTAGGTCATTCACATATAAACCGAAATTTTGTAATACATCGGTATTGGTGATACATATAAAAACATAAATTGATTCCCTTAGTTTTCAAAATAGTTTCCTTCCACAAAATACATTTCTCTATCGCAAAGGAATCTTTCTGATACCTTCGTGATAAAAATCTGTAGAAACAGAATGCTCACGTACTGTTTGACCGCAGTTTGGCCTTCAAATCATCTTTGTGGACCAACCATATGGTAGTCACACGGGAAAGAGTCCGAACAGTCAAGCATGTGTTCTAGAAGAAGCGAGTGCAGTTTCGATAATTTATCACGAGTCAGAGCTAGTGTACACGAGCGTGTGTTTTCACGCACATTGACATCCTGAATCGGTAGCCGCCGGCCGATACAATGGTATGGACCCTTGCACGCACCTCTGACGCAATATGGACAACTGCAATGCGGCAATTGCTTTGAACAAGCTCACGCACTGCTTGAATATTGTCTTCATTGACGCTGGTCGCCGGAGCCCTTAATGGCATTCATTTTCCCCTTCATCACGACCATGTCAACACTTTCGGTCATAATGAACTATTTGTTTGTGTTTTTTACTAAGAGTAGCATGATCGAACTGTACTTTAAGTGTCTTCAACAGTTCGTTCAATTAGAAAAAAATACTTTTTCGGTATTAGGGGACCCCAAAATGTTTTTTCCCAAAGCAATTTCCGCAACATTACATAACTCGTACACGAACAATAAAAAGCCAAATTTTAACTGAATTTATTTATTTATCAGTGCTGTTATCATACCTGTAAATCAAAAATGACATTCAACAAATTTCGACATGGCAACAATCATTGAAAGTTCATCAGTCTTTAAGTTCGCCACAATAGTTATCCGTAGCAGGCAAATCAATGAAGCATTTCGTGACCAGTAACTTCAGCAGGGAATGAGATAAAACAGACTCGTAACCTGTTATGACGGACAGCATTGTTTTCGAAGAAATTTTTGCCAGAGCGAATTACAGATACATGCAACTTTTGAAACGACAGACAGGCGTGACATAATCGCCGCCATTGTTACAGACTGCATTCAGTTTCATCTCCCGTAATAATTTCATAGATAAAGCAGCACAATGCCAATAAAAATTTCGATAAAACAGTCACGAACAAGAAGCGCAAAAGGTAATAGAGTTGGCGAAGACTGGCAAGTGCTCATATTCGTAGTTGTTTCTGCGTACATACAGGAAGGCTCTCTATTTTTCCAAAGCAAAGGGCAAGGAAATCATTATTTTCGGAAATGATAGTTATTAGTGTGAGCCTTCCCCAAGAATGTTTATTCCGAGGATAAGGTGCAATCAATTTTGAAGAGCCAAGCAAGAGTTCACGGGATTGGCTACAGAAGATAAAAGGTGTTGGGTCATTGTTGACGCAACGCGTCTGTAACCTTTGTTGGGAGTTGCGCGCTTCGCCAGGAGTAATCTTCGGTTACAGAGACTAATTACTGAGTAATTACTATACTCGTCACGTCGCAGTCAGTGCCTTTTATCCCATCGGCCAGGGGGTCGACGCCGTTAGATCCCGGGGTTCCTAGCCGGTCACCCAACCAGGAACCCGCGAGTCTCCGCTTCGCTTAGTGACTTCACGGAGCGTAGTAAACGAATTCGGGTAGCCGTCAACGACCGCCTGCTTCTGTGCACACCAACCCGCATTTGCTTTCTACCCGCCTCTCCCTCCGATACAGGCCAACCAGCAGCTACGCACGGTTTTAGATGAAGGTCCAAACCGACGAAAGTCGTTAATACACCCTGACCCGAAGCGTCAAATACTACAGAGATCATAGCTAAATCGCAACATTCGGAGGCCTCAAAACTTTCAATATTTTTATCAACAATATTTTTCATTTAGGATATCTCCATAAATCAATGTCGTCATAACTCACATTTGCTCCATTCAAGCGTTCCGACAGTAATAAGGTCGACATGTCTCTTATAATTAACACTGGCAGTGAAAGGATTAAACATATGATAGTACCTGTAACCATTGTTTACACCATACGAATCGTTCCAATGAGTTTGTCATTGTTTTTTTTTTGTAATTACGAATTGGCTAGTCGCGCTCTTAGGCGTTTAGGGGGCAAACAATTTTTTTGTGACAAATGCTCTGACTTGGGCACTTATACTATTTAGAGTGGCCACTAATGTCCTGAAACAAATTGTATTGAAACAAATCCTGTATTTTCGAAATTTAAAGCTCGTTTTCACAGAACATTTTTGAGTTTTAAAAAAAATCTTTAGAAGTCATTTTAAGCTCATTAACTCACAAATACAATAGTGTTTACAAATTGCTGGAAATGTGCATATTAACTGTGTGAGAGATCTTAAAAAATTTACATTTGTATAATTTAAAAAAACAAACTCGAAATGAATTTTGCGTAATATAAAATATTGCAATTAGCTCTATCCCTTTGAAAAATGGAGAAAATTTCAAAAAAATGTACTTAGGACGGCGGCAGATTGCAGCAGGCACGAGTATGTAGCAAGTTCGAATAGCAACCCGAGACCAAAGGAAATAGAAAACTAATACATGAAAGTCTGCGCCATTCTGTAGCATCACTAGTTTTTTTTCGGATACGGCCATATACACTTGTAAGTATAGCACAGATCTAATTTTCGTCTACCTCTCCAAATTTTCAAAACATGCAAAAATTACAATTAATGCAAGAAAGTATGTGCTGTTGAGCACCGCTAATTTCGAATGGCTATCGTAGAAGATAAAAAAGATGAACAAAAATCGAAGTCCCCTTCGATCTCCATAAAATAATAATAATAATAATAATAATAATAATAATAATAATAATAATAAAACATGAAAATCGTTTCCATCGCCCTACTTCCACGGCAGTTTCTTAGCGTTGTTGTCTAGCGCTGATTAGTTTTGTTTTATAGTTATGAAATTGCGGCATTAAAAGTTCAGAATCTTCCTACTTAAAAAAAACAAAATTTTCCCCCATACTCTCTTTCACTATTTGGCAGGGTACATTGCGTCTGGCGCGGAGCTGAGAAAAGATGCAGCAGCCAAGGCCCCAAGGCTGTTGGCAGAGGGCAAAGCGAAACCCGCTTGTCGCTGCCAACGTCAGAGCGAACATCAACTAAACCATCTCAAATTCAAAGCTCTGCTCTCCTTCCACCTGCTTCCGCCGAATAAATAAGCCACGAAACAGCCTTTTCGACACGAGTGCACGCGGAAATACCGTTCGAGCAAAGGGTAGTGGGTCACAACTGGTAGATGAATCGGGGGCTATCTTCTTTCTTTCTTTAACGTCCTTCAGACTATCCAACAATACAATTTCATCAAAAGCAATAGAGTCGCTTTTGAGAAAAATACTGTTTAAAAAAATTAAAAATAGCAAAATGACACGAAAAAATTTCAAATTTTTGAAACATTGTACGTGACCTTATTTCAAATTCCATCTTTAAGGAACATATATTATTAAGGAAAACATCTCTATCTTTAACATTTTAGTTGTAGGAAGACGCCGGAAAAAGTTTGAATTTTTTCAATTGTCGAAAAATCAGGATTTTCTACCAACATGAGACCTTCAGACTATCTTCCTTTCCGCCGGATAAATAAGCGATGAAACTGCCTTTTCGACACGAGTGCACGCCGCAGCGGAAGTACCGCTCGAGCAAAGGGTAGTGGGTCACAACTGGTAGATGAACAATGAAACCATACATTTCTTCCACCAAATAGGATCGAAGGTCGCACGTACTTCATAAAACGAACGCCCATTTCCGCCTCGCCGGCGAATGCGTTATGACCAATTGGATTTCTGTTTTCATTTATTCATACTGCTATATCAACTTTCGTCATCGTTGTAACGCATCGTCAGTCGCCGTCTCCAAAGGCGGAAATCTGAAACGCCTAGATAGAAAAACACCAGGAAGATCGAGGAAATTCCGAGATCGGGAGTATTTTCTGTATATGTTTTTTACTCTTTTTACTTTTTTGCTACCGCTTAAGCAGACGAGAGAAAGTTATGTAATGCTCGGGAAAAAGCCACGAATTTTCGGCAGAAAAACTCTTATTACAGCGCCCTGGTAACGAAAAAGTGTATAAATCCAAATGCTAAATTAAAAAAAAGTCCTCTAACACATGGTGTAGCCAGAATCCACGCTTTGTGAGTCCTTGATACCGAAAACGTGATTGATGGCAAAAATCTCTCATTTTGTGAACAACCCTAGCGACTAAACCGTTCAGCCGATTTTCCCCAAAATTGATATTCCCCAATCGATCTGACGATCGACATCCTATTTTCCGCAGAATTACATAACTTTCCCTATACCACGCATAATACTCCGTATATATGCATGTACTCGTATACGAGAAAGTTACAAGTGGTGCTACAGAATGGCACAGACTTTCTTGTATTAGTTTTCCATTTAATTTGGCTTCGGCTAGCTATGCGAACTTGCCACATATTGTTGCCAGCAGCCATCTATTGCCGTCCAAAGCCAAATTTTTTGAAATATTCTTAATTTTTCGATTTCCTAACAGTAGAACGGGAATATTAAGTTAAGAATTTAAAATAAGAGTAAAACCTCTACCTAAATGGCAATTTCCGTTGAAAACTGTGGGGAGTTTTAAGAAAATGGAGCTTAAGCGGTACCGTAAATTCGAAATTTGAACCTCTTTACAACTTTTGGTTTTTCTAAAAACTTCATTTGAAGTTATTTAAAGCCAATTAACTCACAAATCCAATAGTGACTACGGATTGCTGGAAATATGCATATTAACGATTTGAGAGATGTTTCAAAAGAATTACATGTTTGCAATTTTGAAAAACAAAAAAGTACCCCTAGATGAACTTCACGTCACACTAAAGAGTCAATTAGCATTATCCGTTCGAAACGTTTGAAGAAAAATTCGGAGCTGTTTTGAGAAAATAACGTTCGAGCGTTTGCCAAATTGGGGAATTTTGAGTTAATTGTCACAGAAAACGGTTGCGTTTTCAAAAAAACTTTATGTCGTATTTAATGCATTTATACTCGTCGATATAATAACGCGAACAAATCGCCGCTAATAGTAATTTTCACAACGTGAGAGACAAGTAAAAAAAATAAATATTGTAATGTTTGAGAAAACAAAAGAAGAGAGTTATCTGTTGTTTATGCCATTTCATAGAATACATTTAGCAATATCCCTACCAAGTTTAAAGAAAAAATTAAGAGCCTTTTTGAGAAAACCGTGATTTTGTTATTTTTTAAATTGCAAATATTGGACGCAATATGGTGTGAAAATCACTAACATTTTGAAATAATGTACAGGACCTTAATTAAAGAACAAATTATGGACAACAAATTTCATTTGAAGGAAAAATCTCTATCTTGAATAGTAGTTGCAGCTGTAGGAAGACACCGGAAAAAAATTTTTTATGAAATTTTTGAAAATTCAGAGTTAACCGTGATAATAGGACATATCCTATTTTTATAATGGTATGTTACTCTATTGTTACAGGAAATTTAAAGAAAAAAAGGGACGTGAAAAAAATTTGAAATTTTCCGGAATTCTTCGTGTTAAGTACCATCAAATTTTAAAGAATTTTTTTCAAAATCTCTAAAGTTCGACTCGAGTTAGATGGACAGGAGTTTCTTCAATTTGGAAAAAATCCTATGCATGGTTTAGGCGCTAGTAGTAATCACAGACGGACGGACAGACGTTTTGAAATTAACATCTTTTTTGGTTTCAGGGGACCCCAAAACGGGTATTTCCGTTTCCTTGAAATCGATTTTCCGCAGCAGTACATAACTGTCCCTATACTACGTATATTACTCCGTATATACGTACGTATACGGGAAAGGAAAAGCTTACTCATTTATCCAGGAAATGAGGCACTTGTACATCTTGGAGACGACGCACTCGCTGACTGAAGCTAGTGAGTAAATTGGTGTTTATGTCGGTACTGGATCCGTTGTCATATTTTTTACGACATACTGCACCATATTTACATCCGTTGCGAAGTATTTATACACCTGGTGTACTATCTATGACGTGTTATCTTATCTATTACATAATATTGCATCATTTTTACACATGCTGCGAAATATTAAGTCATATTCACACACCTGTTACCTTATCTGTGACGTGTTATCTTATCGATTACATAAAGTTTCAGCATTTTAAACCTGTTGCAAAATATGACATCATATTCACACATCTGTATTGCCTTATCTATTGTAGAATTTTGCGGGTTCTTACCTGTTGCAAAATATTGCATCATATTCATACACCTCATACCATAACAATGACGTGTTATCCACTACATAATATTGCACAATTTGTATACATGTTGCATCATATTCCCACTCTGTGTTATCTTATCTTTAATTCGATTGTTGGTGAGGTAGATACCTTTTAATTAAGATAAATAAATATATTGTCTGGTATCAATATGATACCAGATACCTTGATACCAGACAATATCTTTATTTATTTATCGTTATCTTATCTATTAAGAAATATTGTGTTATCTTAGCTCTTGCGAAATATTGAACATATGTATGCACCTCTTGAATCCAAAGGCAAGATAATTGAGGAAATGTGGTCTCATCAAATCGTTGAAATAAAATTTGAACTGGTATTATAGTATCTATTCCCATCGTGAAATTAAAACCAGTGTTTAACTATACATACAAAATGCCCCAATCAGGGCGGTATATCCCAAAAATTTATCGCTTTTGCGGTCCGGTTTTTCTTAGCGCTTCTACCTGCTCGCCAATCATAAATTGTGACTCATCTACCTTACGAGGCGATATAAATCGATCGCTATGTCAATAACAAATAAACATCATACGTACTATAACATAACCTCTGATTTTAACATACGCTTTCAGTCATTTTCAATATTTGACGCATTTTGGAATTCTGTTGAACATAATTTCACTCGCGGAATAGTCCTATTAAATACCACTCGTGCTTTGAAAATTCTCAGATCTTCTCGCATCGCGAGACGGGTATTTATTGACAATTTCCAAAGTGGGCGCGATATTTTCTATGATAATACGATATCATCAAATAGTTGAAATAAAACGTTATGTAAGAAGTCCAGCATCTAGAAAATTGTTGACATAAAATGCGATCTAAGTACTCAAGTCATCAATGCCCACCCCAAACAAAAATGGCGGAGTCATCGACACTTGAAATCAAAAAACTTTTTAATGTTGAGGTAATTGAAAAAATCTGGTCTAGTAGCCTGAACAGTCGTATCGCCTAAAACTGAATCTCACCAACATTTATGAAAAATACGTTATATTTCGAGAATAATTCATGCAAAATACATACAATTGAAAATTGCTTACTTTTCGATCTTGAGAATCTGGTCTAAGTGTATACATGGACCTCAACAAACCACAATGCATAAAAACTGCAAAACTTGATAACTGAAAGGTAAAAATTAGAGGTTGAAGGTTATTGTGAAAACTACGCTAAAATATCGTAAAATTAGCAAAAATTGAAATATATAAAAAATGTCGTGTCTGAAAATCTGGTCTGATATTTCCCCTTTACACAGACCAACTAGCTTGCTACGCTATAACGCCCCAGCATGCATTACATATGGTCAGAAAATGCACCAAAAGACACAAGAAACGGCAACTACTCGACCACCCCCTTTAATCGAGAAGCTGCGCGGCTTATTTTAGCTTCTTTTGTAGAGGAAAGACGCCATTTTTGAATCACACACATTTCGTCTATGAAGAGGGCACCGACAGGCAGGCCTGTGTTTACGCACTGTCCTGATAGGCCTGGGCCCAGCGTTTCCGAATGTTCAAAGCCCCGCGATAGTTCAAAAAACTTAAAATGTAATACTAACTTTTTCAAAAAGTAAAACAAAAAACCGAAATAAAATTATGTATGATTTAACCTTGATGTGTCGCGCATCATTGGATAATATGGAGTGTTGCTGGTTGATGCGAGAAGGTCACTCGGATGTGTTTACTTTTATTTAACAAAACTTGGCTTTAAATTCGAGGGGGGTGAGCTTAAGGATAGGGGGCCAACAAATTAACATAGACTCAATAGCCCTCGAAGCTTTTTAAACGGTCCTGCCGATAGGTGTTTCGCGATTGACACAAAA